CATGTTGACAAAGTACCGACTTCATGAACAGGGGGTGTTCTTCTGACAAAGAACTGCTTAAAAAAGAGGCGGCAGATACCAAAGGGATATTCAAACTTAATAGTCGAAGACAATCTTACAACGCCATGGCAAAAGCCGAAGAACGACGTAAAGAAAAATAAAATTCTACAAAACCCTAAATAGAAATATAAAGACTGATCGACACGAGCCTAACTAAAAAAACATGGGGGTTTTCTCATGTGTCACGGAACGGTTAGCAGATTCTGCTCCACTGTGACATGTGGCACCTATGTTTTTTGCTCGTGTAAATACGAATTCGATTATATGAACAGAGGTATGAGGAAGAACCGGCGACTGAAATGGACAAATCATATTTGTTTTCGTGAATTGTTTTGTTATAAATTAGGCCGTTAGTTTTCTCAATTGAATTGTTTAATTTCTTCATGCCGGGGCCTTTTATAGCCGACTATACGGTATCGGTAATTTCTCATTATTGAAGGCCGTACGGTTGCTTATAATTGCTTGCATCCACTTCATTTGAACTTTGGTGGATAGTTGTCTCATTGGCATTCATACCACATCTCCTTATATTTAAACAAAGTAAATTTTAAGTCACCATCACAAATTGCGTTGCCTTTAAGCTTTACCGTGTCTCAACTCACTAGCAACATCTTTTCGCAGTTTAAGATATTTAGATATCTAAACTAAATGTACCATTTGTGTCCTATTCCTGTTTGTGACATTTTGACTGATTGTGATTTGCATGGCGTGTGATACAGGCATAGCAAAAGACGCGTATGCTTTTGACGCATCCGAACTCAACTCTTTTTGAAGTTCATGGAATTCCCATAGTTTTTGTGACAAAGTGTAAATCAATCTATATTTTTTCATATGCTTGCATATATTGTAATTAAAAATCTACATTCAAGCAAGACATAGTATTACGGACTCTAAACAAGAGGCTCTTAAGAGCCTGAATCGCTCACCTGTAATTTTTTGCTTAAATCTTTCATCAATGATTATTTTTGCTTTTCAATATATATTAATGACTTAAAAATTTCATTTAAATGTTCTTTGTATCTGTCATATTTTCTTCAAAAGCAAAAAATGCATTTTACCCCTATGTTCCATTTTAGCCATAGTGGCTATGTTTCTTGACGTACAAGGAAATAAAATACAAAATTTATACTAGATACTCTGAAACTCATTCAGCCCAAGTTTGGCTTAAATTGATTCAGCAGTTTCAAAGGAGAAGATTTTTTAAAGAAAGCAAACTGCATGAACAAATTGTGAAACATTGTCTTTAAAGGGCAATAACTCCTTAAAGGATCAATTGTTTAGTAGTTTCAGAGGAGAAAATGTTTGAAATAGTTTACATCGGACGGACGACGACGACGACGACGACGACGGACGACGACGGGCGCCAAGTGATGGCAAAAGCTCACATTTCCTTTGGAAAGGTGAGCTAAAAATAGATTCAGGTAATGGGTAACTTGCTTTACCACCCCTCTAAACCTTTACGGGGAATCAAAATATATTCATTTATTACAAAGACAAATTTACAGAACAAGCGTTTTACCATAAGCAGTGTGATATCAATGCTAACCATAGTTCAGATATCAAATCAATTTATACAGACCAGACTGTAGGGCAGGAAAATCACGAGAGATGGAGGTTTTCTTGTCTTTTGTTGAGGGATATTTAGTGTTGCAAGCAGGGCAAACTTTTTCTTTCTTAACAGGGTTCATTTGTCCTAGAAGCGCTCAGATGTTACAGTTGTCTTATATTCCCATAACTTTATATTGATACGTCCAAGGTGTATATTCTGCAATTTAGAAATGTTTTGAAATGTCCTATGATGCTGGACAAAGCACGCTACATGTTGTACACAAACATTCGACCAGCACTCTTTTGAACTTTGAATTTTTGAAATACTAAGGCTTTTCTACCTCAGGAACTGCATGAACAAATTGTGAAACATTGTCTTTAAAGGGCAATAACTCCTTAAGGGATCAATTGACAATTTTGGTCATATAAAACCTATTTGTAGATCTTACTTTGCTGAACATTTTTGCTGTTTACAGTTTATCTTTATCCATAATAATATTCTAGATAATAACCGAAAACTGCAAAATTTCCTTAAAATCATCAATTCAGGGGCAATAATCTAAAAATCAGATACCCGATTTGGCTGATAATTTCAGTGCAGGTAGACCTTGACCCAATGAATACTTTAACTTCTTGATTGATTTGCTCTAAATGCTTTAGTTTTTGAGATATGTCAAAAACTGCATTTCACCCTATGTTCTATTTTTAGCCATGGCAGCTATGTTTTCTGAGGAAACAGAAAATAAACACAAACTTTATTCTAGATAACGTAAGCATCATTTAGCTTAAGTTTGGTTTAATTTGGTTCAGTAGTTTCAGAGGAGAAGATTATTTAAAGTTAGAAAACATGATAAACAAATTGTGTAAAATTGTCTTAAAAGGGCAATAACTCCTTAAGGGGTCAATTGACAATTTTGGTCATATAAAAACTTATTTGTAGAACTTACTTTGCTGAACATTTTTGCTGTTTACAGTTTATCTTTATCTATAATAATATCCAAGATAATAACAAAAAACTGCAAAATTTCCTTAAAATTATCAATTTAGTGGCTATAACCCAAAAATGGGTTGTTAGATTCATCTGAAAATTTCAGGGCTGATAGAACTTGACCTAATGAACATTTTCAACCCATCAGATTTGCTCTAAATGCTTTAATTTTTGAGATATAAGCCAAAAACTGCATTTTACCCCTATATTCTATTTTTAACCATGGCGGCCAAGTTTTTTGACGAAACAGAAAATAAAGCACAAACTTTATTCTAAATACCCTAAGGATCATTCATCTTATGTTTAGTTAGAATTGGTTCAGTAGTTTCAGAGGAGAAGATGTTTTAAATAGTTTACACCGGACGGACGACGACGACGGACGACGACGGACGCCAAGTGATGGCAAAAGCTCACATTTCCTTTGGAAAGGTGAGCTAAATATAGATTCAGGTAATGGGTAACTTGCTTTACCACCACTCTAAACCTTTACGGGGAATCAAAATATATTCATTTATTACAAAGACAAATTTACAGAACAAGCGTTTTACCATAAGCAGTGTGATATCAATGCTAACCATAGTTCAGATATCAAATCAATTTATACAGACCAGACTGTAGGGCAGGACAATCACGAGAGATGGAGGTTTTCTTGTCTTTTGTTGAGGGATATTTAGAGTTGCAAGCAGGGCAAACTATTTCTTTCTTATCAGGTTTCATTTGTCCTAGAAGCGCTCTGATGTTACAGTTGTCTTATATTCCCATAACTTTATATTGATACGTCCAAGGTGTATTCTGCAATTTAGAAATGTTTTGAAATGTCCTATGATGCTGGACAAAAGCACGCTACATGTTGTACACAAACATTCGACCAGCACTCTTTTGAACTTTGAATTTTTGAAATACTAAGGCTTTTCTACCTCAGGAATAGATTACCTTAGCTGTATTTGGCAAAACTTTTAGGAATTTTTGGTCCTCAATGCTCTTCAACTTCGTAATTTATTTGGCCTTTTTAACATTTTTTATTCGAGCGTCACTGATGAGTCTTTTGTAGACGAAACGTCTGGCGTAAATATAAAATTTCAATCCTGGTATCTATGATGAGTTTATTTCCATTGCAGAACAAGTCAAATGTCCGTAATAATAAACGTTCATTATCGCAATATTATTAGGATTTGTGGTTTACGAATTTTGTCTTGACCGGAATGTACGAATACATATGTTCCAACCAAGGGTCAGAACCTTGGCATAACGTTCCCACAATATAGAAGTCATTTGAGGTCTGAATTACTTATTAAAGTAAGGTTTTTAGCATGTTTAGTGCGATGTATAGTTATCCTGCTTAGAAGAGATTTTCTTTCACAATGTTCTATACGGATAAAAGGCCGTTCTAGTCATCAAAATGCCCTTTTGAAACTGTAAGTCTATTTCATAATGATTTATGTTCGTATCAATACATTTTATTTTAAGTCATAACATAGTTTAAACTCAAATATAAGTCTGTTTTGAAAGAACTTATGTTGCCAGTTTGGCATGTACCGAATTCAACCTATATTCCCATAACTCACATTTTCCACTTTCATTGAGGTATTATAGATAGTTATATATACACATACATATTTTTTTTCATGTTTGTCTACTATACATTTTGTTTAGTTTTGACGGCCGCTGTTCTAATTATTTTTAAAAATTCATCTTCTTAAAATGAAAATCACCCCCCTTTTTGTAAAATCGCATGCGTTTACTCGGGAAACTCATTAAATGATGGTTTTCAACTTTTTTGATGAAACATTGAATAAGGAAGAAAACAAATGTAAGTTTGCAAAAAATTCTGCTGCAAAAAGGGTATTTAAATTGGAAATAAATATTCAATGTTTTTTCTCATCAAAATGGTTAGTGACCTTTGATCTTGATTTCTGAAAAACTGCACCATATTTTCTTTTGACGACCAAATTAATTTTAAAGTACACACATTTTTTAATCGAATGATATGTGATATAGCCGTGTAGTAGTTTTGACGATTAAATTTTTAAATTCTGACTCTGGTCACCGGGCTATATACAGCAATATATGCTTTTTTTCATGATTATGTTGTCGACGTCTAGGTCATATGCATTTCTGTTCCCACACCTTTACGAAGTGCCAAGTCTTCATTATATCTATATTTATGATTCAAATAGCGATGTTAAAGTTGTATTTAGTTCTGTTCTAACTTTTTTTATATGTACTCAGCTATGATTCAAATAGCCATGTCAAAAAAAACATGCATAATTATTCCAACACGTTAGCTTTGTGTATGTTAAGTTTCAAATAGAATGTGAAATTTACAAATTATTTTACTAGAAAATTTAAAATGGGCTTTTTCTACGGTAATTGCTTAATTAACAGCTTTTTATTATTTTGACAGGATATATGTCGTACGGCTGGCTGTTTTATAAGTAAAAAATTCCACCAAAAAAGATGTGTTGACGATTCGTCCTTTAATATTTCTGGATATACACTGCCACTGAAACTTGAGCAAGTAAATAAAAGTGAGTTTATCATTGACAAAGTTATAGCCAACATGGAATTACAATGTAATCGGAATATAACTTATTCAACTCCTTTTTGTTTGAACGACGTTGAAAATAAAAATGATAGCATATTATTTCTCCTGATAGAAGCTGTAAACCAACTTAATAGAACTCATTTTGAACACGAATTATTAGAATTCATATCCGGTGATTATATGTCCCAATTTATAAATACCATTAATTTAAATGATAAAAAGATTATCGCAGATGTCATTTATAGTAGGAATAAGTCAATTTCATGTATTCCCAGCTTGTATCCTCTTCTGTCGAAAATATTAATGTGCAGACATGTAGTTTTCAAGTTGAATGAATACAGCAATGTCGATTTCATCGTGAGAGTGAATGGATTTGTAAATGAGTTTCAATTATATGATTATCATATAGACACAAACAATGATCTGTGGCTTTGCTTGGAGGATTTCGATTCTTTAGAAAAACCAAACGATTATACAAACGTCATATATTTTGTGATATTTATTATCTGCAGTGTAGTATCGTCATTGTCTTTACTCATGACGTTAACAACGTACTGTTTATTTCCAAAATTACGAACTGTTCCAGGTAAAAATTTAATGAGTCTATCTGTTTCACTTCTATTGCACCACATTACATTCATTCTATTCATGACGACACATGAAACCGGAACATTTTGTATGATACTGGCCATTTCAATGCATTATTTTCTGTTGTCTTCATTCGGGTGTCTTTTTGTTTGTGCATGGCACATGTTCAAGATCTTTGGCACTGGAAGCATTGCTTTAACAATAGAGGCAAGCAGAAACAAACACTCAATTCGATGGTACATCACATTTTCCTATTTGTACGGATTGATGTTGATAGTAACAAGTATTATCATCTATGCGACAATTACTGATGGAGAGTCTATAGGATACGGCGATAGGCATTGTTTTATTTCGTTTAGAGAAATGATATTTGCTACTTTGATAACTCCACTTGTGATTTTGTCAGGAGCAGATATAATACTTTTTGTTATCACAGTCTACCGACTAAAAAACCGACCACGTATCATGACTGATGATACAGAGAAACGAAAAGATGTATGGATATTTTTAAGGCTATTTGCAGCCACTGGATGTTCCTGGATACTTCTGTTGATAAACGCTTTCGTTGAAAATTCAACTTTGGCCTTAATTATTTCTTGTATAAACAGTTTGCAAGGTTTATACATATTTATAGCATACATCTGCAACAAACGCATATATAATATGTATATTTCTAAACTACGCCATGGAGAACATAGCAATAAGAAAAAGCATTCCCCTTCAACTTCATTAACATCTTTAACAAAAATAAGAACAAATATCATAGAACAAAGTTCTCCATTAATTCAAAGGAAGATCAACACCTGAAAACATTGCCTATTTGTGTTATAAATTTCATGAAGCTCCTCAATTCATAATATATTTTGGTTTTAACTTTGAAATTGCATGCTTTTTAAATAATTTTCTTTATTCTTCAGAAATCATAAATACTCTGAAAATGCAACCTTGAAGGATACTGTTTTCAGTAGTTCTCTATTTATGCACATACGTAAGGTTATTCGGTGAACCATAAAAACGATTTTACCCAAACTCCATTGTTTTTTTTTTCTCAATCAGGAATGCACATTTTTGAAAAAGATGACACTTGCAAAAAATTTAATACAGGCAAATATACCTTACAAAAACATAATTTTTCAAATTAATACTATAAATTGTTAGAAATTTCCGTTTTCAGATTCCTTATGCTGAATAATATACTTTGGTCGCCATTTTGCACCGTTCAACATAAACTGGTAGAGAAAATTGTTATCCAAAATATTTGTTTATATTTGTATTTATTTTTATTTTCTTATTCTTGATGTTTTTTGCAAGAAAGAAGTTATATATGAATCTAACATAAAGTATAATCATATAAAAAGACATTATGAATAAGTTATCATAGATAATGAAAAACTTTATTTGATATCGAATTGCTCATTTACGGAATCTAAATAAATAATACCATTCATACATTTTTATTGCCGATTCCAAAGATTCAACCTGATAAGTGAACAAGTATTAATCGTCTGGAATCATAAAAAAGTAATATACTGGACATTTTCTGCTTAGAAATCCGATAAAGGACTAAGTAGTGCCATACTACATATGAACAGGAGATTAATGAATGCTTGTGGACGATTATTACTTGTATTTCTACTAACCATTATAAAAGATACTGCTACATGTATATTAACAAAAGTACCCTTTTATTACATATAGTCAACAAAATGTTGACCTTCGTTTTGTTTCATGATCAAATATACTTATTTTTATCTAGACAAACTATGAAATACTAGAAAATATCGATGTGCCAGTAGTTTTTACAATTTTAGAATATCTGATACGAGTCAACCAACGGAATACTACTTGATACATATTTGCAATACTATTAATGAATAAAAAGAAATTATAGGTACAGGCCAATGACACAGCGACACACAACGACGCAAAAGCCAAATAACATCATCTGTTAAAATTGTGAAGACAATTTCGTCCAAATAATTCAGATGATTCTATTACTAGTATTTAGATCCCTAGGCTCGATCTTGCTAGATTCAAAATTAAATGCGACGAAAGTGCTTTTTAGACTTTGAAATTTTATTATGCTCGAAAGCCTTCGTTTCAAATTTATTACATACGGGAAGAGCAACTATGTATGAGATGTTTGCTTTAATAAGTTTAGTTCCACAGTCTGGAAATGATACCTTTCTGGAAGGGTAAACAGTAGTCATAACAGCCATGTTGTTTGGTTTGTCTGTTTCCTGGACCATATATCAGATGTAAATAGTAAAATAACTAAAACACCGAACTCCAAGGAAAATTCAAATCGGAAAGTCCCTTATCAAATGGCAAAATCAAAAGTTCAAACACATCAAACGAATGAAAAACAACTATAATATTCCTGACTTGGTACAAGCATTTCCTTATGTAGAAAATGGTGGATTAAACCTGGTTTTATAGCTAGCTGAACCTCTCACTTGTATGACAGTCGCATAAAATTCCATTATATTGACAACAATGTGTGAACAAAACAAACAGACATACTAGGTAAAAATGTCAAAATTAGAGGTACAGCAGTCAACATTGTGTTATTATCTTACTCACTATAAAAACAAACAAATATGTCAACAAAGAAAAACAAAATGGCATATAGACAAAGCACATAAGAAAACATATAAGACAAGAATACAAAACATGACCACAGCACAACAACACAATAGCGGGATGCATAAGTACCGAGCCACGCCAAAAGGATATTACCAAAAATGGACTAAATAGTAAAGGTTAATAATTTACAAAGCCAAATAAAAGAACACTATAACACGTAATTAAGATAATAAACAACGTCAGTATCTAGAATCTATACTTCAAGACCATCGTGTATTATTTGTGAAGTTGATATGGAATATTTATCAACAAGGTCTTGGTATCTTCCGATGAACTTTTTTAGAAAAAGGACGAGACGTTCTTTGACATAACCCTGGTTCATCAACCTTCTTCTCAGACACTGGTGACGTTTTATTAAGTCTGAGTAGCAACTGCAAGCTCTTGAATACCAAATGAGTTAGAAAATGTATATCCCATATGCAGGTGAAGTTGGTATATTGCTACTAAGGTGGGGGAAGTTGATAATTTCAAAATTAAAATCGTATCGTTTGTCATAGATTCTGGTACTGAGATTACCGCTTATTTCAAATTCGAGGTATAAGTCTAAAAATGAGGCGGAGGAAGTCGTGTCTGTTGGTTCTTTAATTTCTAGTTCTGGAGGATATATTAATGGAACCCTATCAGAAAAGTTTGGATTGTTAATGGAAAGAACATCACCAATATATCTGAATGTGAAATTAAATGATATGGCTTCTTTGATCTTCTTGTTTTTGACAAGTGTCTGAAGGAACTCCGACTCATATGAAAATAAGAAGAGGTCGGCAAGGAGAGGAGCACAGTTCGTTCCCATAGGAATGCCGACAATTTGTTAGAAAAGTCTACCTCCAAATTCAAGAAATATTTATATCGTATGCTATCATTTTTATATTGAAAAGCATTGTGGATTATTTCTTTTAGACGATTTTTCAATTTCACATGGGGAATGGTGGTATACATGGTTGAAAAATCAAAAGTTTTGATAGAATTAATTTCAGAGAAAGATCGAGAATTAAAATTATCCAGAAGTTAGAGTTTTTTAGAATCCACATATGGTTAATACCACTACGCAAGTAAACAGTTTCACAATATTTCTGAAGACCCTCTTTCACTGCGGACATATTTTTTGCCAATCTAATGGACAATTCCTATGTAGAACATGCAGATGTACTGTTGTTTGTATGGAATTTTGTGAAGGTTAGTTATCCAATACAAACAAGGTAAGTCCATATATTTGCTGTTCAATGTAAAGTTCATTGAAGCCATGAAGGACTTATGATTCGCCAAAATCTCATCCTTGTCAAATGATATGTTTTTGTATGTGGAATTACCTGAGTGCTCATTTATTTCTAATTCTTTTACAAGACACTCGTAGTAGTACGATTTACATACACAGACAATATTATTTGAAGCTTTGTCCGCAGGAACAGCAACATATTTATCGTAAAGAGATGATAGACATTTCAAAGCTTCTTTGTCTCTGAAAACGGACTTTGGTCGATCATTCACACAGTTTTTCAACTTATAAATTCGACGTTTTATCAGAGACCTGATTGTTTTGACCCATTCTGACAAAGTGTCCAGTTTAACCTTCTTCTCGTTTAGCCCATGTTTTGGCGTAGTCCTCAATGGAATCCATAATTATTTTGAAGTTATGGTTCCAATTCATGTGTTGGGGTTCTGAAAATGCCCCAAAAACTAACAAGGGTTCGAAAGTTATAGTATTTCCAACTGATTTTTTTAAATTTGTTCTTATGTTGTGCTGTTACATCGGTGTCCTAAACTAGGGATAGTTAAGTGCTCGTAAACATGATTAATCCCATTTTTAATGTACAGTCCGGGTCAGGAGCCTGTAATTAAGTGGTTGTCGATGGTTGTTGTCTGCCAAATGTTTTTCCTTTATGGATTTCTCATATAGCCTTGTACAGCTTACTATACGTTATAAAAATAAAAGGAGATGTGGATATAACTCATTGAGACAGCAACAAAACGACAAAAATAAACAAAACATACATTATGTATGCTTTCAACCGTCTTGCTAACAAATTTCAAATGAAATTAAACTATTAAATTTGGGCGTTCGAAGCGCTTTTCTGGATTTCCTTCATCAGGAACGCTTACACCTAAACATTTGAAAGCCAAAAATGAATAAGACCTAAACAAATGAAGATCTATAGGGCCAAAATGGAAAATTTGTCCTTCAAATCTCATACCGTTCGGCTAAATACTGTGGCTTCATTATTATTCGTGGGATAACAATTTTCTTGGATTTTCTTGGTATAGGTAAACCACGAATTTAAATGTTTAACGCAGTACAAATTTTCTATAGGCTTGTTAGCAAACCTTTGCAAAACCTTAATACCAAGTATCTACGAAAATACAATTTTTTCTCAACATATGAAAATTGGTACTCACGAAAATAAATGAATCCACAGTAGACTAATAGATTAAGGTTATAATTAAACTGTTGTTGTTCATTCATTGCGTCTGGTAGTTTTGGTATATATTAATTCACTTATTGGAAAAGAGAGATAAGTAATTTTTAGATTTTTTTCCAATGAAATTCGGTAATTTTTTTTCTATTCGTTTTTTTCTATTCTGCTTATGTCAATGTTGTCTGGAACGTTTCGAAGTACAGCCGCCGATATTCTATGGCAATATGTATTGCCATAGAATTTCATAACAACAAGTACTTTGATGTAGCTCGACATACAATGGGTCCTATCTCCTGACCTCCTAGAGAAAGATTTACATGCACTTTGTTACCTATTCTGTAGTTAAATATGTGATCAAAATTTAAAAATGTATGATTAAAGATGTTTTATCACTAAAATAGTTTAAAAGATATATTATAATTGTTTCTGAGAGGACGCTAATAATTTACAGTAAAACGATGCTCTTTTTCATGACTTTTTAATGACGTCTTCAATAATTATCATTCTAAATGTTTCGTTTTATTTCTAAATTAGAAAATTAATATTTCAATTGAAAAAACGGTCACTAAAATTGTAAGTTGTAGAGTTTTTCATATTGCAAAAAAAGATCAAGTGTGACTCATTTTCATGTTGTTTTTTTTTCTTTCTATTTTTGGAGTCGTTGCCTTTATATTTTATCAACCTTAGCATTTTTACGTTGTTTTGTTTGTTGATTTGATTTTAACTATGCATGCCATCATTTGTCAGAAAAAAGAAACATCGATGCAGTTCTTCATTCTTTACAAAAGTTTAAGAACGGATAGATTTAAAACAGTTAAACAAAAGTTCGCTGATAATTGTATTGTTTTCAAAGTCCATAATCATTTCGGTTATTAATTTGGTACAGGTACATATCTGCAACAAAAAATAAGGTTATGACCTTTCATTTAATTAGTTTTTTTGTTTTATTTTGTTTTGTTTTTTTTTTTTCATGCTTTTTGGCCTGTGTTAGTGTTTTGGTAGAGTGATTGTTAGTTAAATTCTGTTTAAATTTGAAAAGATTCTGGCGTTCATATTTTACATCAATATCGTAACGCCTCTGCATATAAAAATACTTTAAATATGCATTTGTATCTTATTATATATGTATTATCAATTGCAAAGTGTGTTTCATTTATTTAATTCTTGATATGAGACTGTATTTTGATTTTGACTGCAATACAATTCATAGGTAAATTACAGTTTAATCAAGTTATTCCACATGTCATTCATTCTAGCACCGTCGTTCAAACCGTTTATTTATCTTTTGGTTGATTAGGGAAGACTTTATATACTAATTGTAAGGCTCATTTTTACATCAAATATTTGTTATTTGCTTCGTTAGACATCCATAATTTTCTACAAAGTCACAAACACAATAAAATTCAAACTGTTATTTTGCTATTATTCTGACAGTTTGTGCTAATAAAATATCGTTTTGTTTTACATGCAAAATGATTTCGCAATTAGTTAACTTAAAAGGGTTTCAGCAATTCCTGCATTCTAACAATGCCTGCATATTAATATATGTATTATTGATAATGGTAATTAAAATAAAACAATGTAAGTTTGAACAATACATAGTGTGTTTCATGTTTCTTTTAAACTTCAGCTAAAGATTGAATATTCTTTATCTCTCCTAGATATCCAAATTACTTTGTCATAAAAACAATTTTGTTTTCCCGAGTATCTAAATTGCTCTGT